GCATAGGAGCTTCGGGGGCATCTCTGCCTTGGTGCTGGCGGCTCTGTGGCTGCAACGCAACGCGCCAACTTTCCTGTTCTGTGTGAGACTGTGGGGCTGGGGCTCAGTGTGCAGCCATCTGCCTTGGGGAGAGTCTGGTTGTGCACCATGCTCTGCATGGGGCCGTTTCCCCCTGAAACCTGCGGCCTTCTCTATTGACAGGGGAGAACATGGATGATCTGCCACAAGGGCAGCGCCTGGGAACCGTCAGTGCTCGCATCATGGTGCATGAGTGGCCGTTGGCGTCAAGCTCGGACCTGAAGCTGGTCGTCATCCAGGAAGAAGTGACAGAAATTGATGGAAAAGAGGTAAAAAGTAATCCTCCACTCCTTTTGGATTTAGGAGAGCTTATAGCTACCGAAGACTGAAACATTTCTGTGCTTAGGGTGGTGGTGAGAGCACAATGCATTATAACCCAGTGCTGCCTGGCAGTGCTGAATGAGGTGATATCCAGCTACTTCACTTGTGTAGCCGCCCGACTGAGGCTGTAACTTTGATTGCACGTGACGTTCCCGTTCTGTTGTAGTTCTGTGTCGCAGTTATAATCTTCATCGCTCGCGCTCGGATCTCTGTTAGTTCCCAGCCCCACGGAGCAGGTATTGCTCTTAGTTATGCTGAATGTTTTCTGCATAAACTGCTTGTAGTGATTATTAAATGCAGAGGGTCTAATGCATCACGTGGAAGAGGAGGAGGACACTGTAATGCTGCCTGTTCTGAATAACAGGAAAAAGGCAAACAAGCTAAAGCTAAGAAACCAAACACGACAGTGAGTGATCCCAGTAGAAATTTTCTGAGATGTTTAAAATAGCAACATTACTACAAAAAGCCAAGTCTCGTCTCAGCAATACACTAAACATTTGCACATGCCCTTTTCCTCTATCTTTATTACTGACACACTTGAGTTTTCCTTGCACTAAAAGGCCTCCCTGATCATAATGACTGAGTGCAGGAAAGCCGTGGGGAGAGAGACCCAGTCTGTTGGGTGCACATCCTCACATAAGACTGCAAGAATCTGTGAGTAAAAAAATAATGAGTTCCTGTTAGTAATATCTGTACGCCTGTACATTTTCATGGCTTGGAATTGTCTGTGCTGAATAGCTTTCCTGTGCCAGCCTCTTCGCTTTAATTACACTCAGCCATATCAATCTGCTTGCATCTCCCGCAGGTTCAGCAAGAAGAAGTAACTGAAATAAATATTTTAGTGAAGGACATGAGAGTCCTTCGGCATTCGAGCTACACCGTCCCTCTGCAGGAGAGCATGCTGTATTCCATCCCCAGGGACAGCGATGTGGTATTTACATTTCCCAACCTCTCAGGGAAAGGTAGGTCTCGTAGCTGCTCCGTCATGGTTTTAACAATAGGTCACATATTGCTTTATAAGGGCAAGATGCGTAGGATAACTGCTTCTCCATGAGCAGGAACATATTTGTTATTCCTAAACTCCATTCTTGTACATTCTAGGAGTTATTTTTCTTGTTCTGGTTTCAAATCTCTTCCCCTCTGTAGTACGTGATGCCTGTAAACATGCAACCCAGATGTCTCACGTGAATAATTTCTTAATAATAATTTCATTGCTATGATGGAAATTTCTCTAAAGCTCCCCCTTTTTTCTGAGACTGAATGTAAAAACTATAGAGGAAATACCCATCTGGGGCACTTCCAAACCAGAGAACAGTTTTACATTGTTAAATCTCAATACCTTAAAAGCAGGCAAAGTTATTTGATGCCATTTGTTAATCAAAATTCCTCAAGGGTTCCATAGCAGATGGCTATTTTGCTATCCATCTGCTCATAAAAAGTTCCTCACTTTTTTTCGGGTGACAGCTGAAATCTAGCATTAAAGCACAGCTGACGTCAGCACCGGAGCTCCGCTTCTGCTTCTCGTGGAGTTTATTTCACTGAAGTCAAGTGAAAATGCCATTCGCACCTCGTAATAACTGTACCATGAATATAGAAATGCAGCGTTTCTCTATTGTTTTGTTTCCATTCTGCACTATCATTACTTGAATTATCATGATTAGTGAGCCAAATAAAAAGGGAAACTTAATGTAGCTTTTCTTCCGCAGATATTCAAGATCCCCTGCAAACTACCAGCCAGTACCTTATCCCGCAAGCAGAAACGGCAGTAGATGAAGAGACGTTACCTGGCAAGCTACCAGAGACCCCTCTTAGGATGGAACCTCCATCTTCCTATAAGGTAGGGTGTTTTTGGTTTATTCTGGGGGATATACATTTAAAGCCTGGCTTAAAAAGGAGAAGCATTTTTTTCTGTTTTTTTTTCCACCCTCAGGGATGAAAAATGTATATGATATAGTAACATTTCTAGGAGGAAATTATAGGAAAATACTGTTGAAAAAAAATGTAAATCATTATTGCAGTTTTGATTTCTATGATGATAGATAGATATGATTTCTAGGAGGAAGTTATAGGAAAATACTGTTAAAAAAATGTAAATCATTATTGCAGTTTGAGAAAATAGACTTTCTTCCTGATGTTCCTGGTATTGTCTATAAAAATAAGCACAAATATTAGATTTTTCCCCTTCGTGAATGTTTGCAGACAAAAAAAACAGAAGCAACATTATTAAGATTCAGATAGTGAGTTTTCCTGATGGAAAGACAAAACACATTGTCCACTTAAAGAGGGTAAAAATGCAAATAACCTTCCTAGCACTTCATCTTTGGGCCTTTACTGTTAATTTGAAAAAAGCAGCACAGCACATAGTAGCTTATTCCTCAAAGAGAGAATTTCCATTCCTACTTAACCTAGGGTTGTGACTTCTCAGGCTTTCTGTTTGATAAAGCCCAGGAGTTTTTTGCTGTGTTAGGATATCTCACAGTGACTAATTTCTGCAGAAGTCTAATAAATCCCTGTAGTGAATCATTAAGAAGGACAAACTTTTAAGGAGAAAATATAGGATTTTTTTTTTTTTTAGCTTCCTAAGCTACCCTTTAGCAGTCAGAATTTGCTTTTGTACTCAGGTAGGAATCAAGTGGTTTTCTAAACTCTATAATGTCCTGACCTCACAGTTAATTGATCAGAGTGAGTTCTGATGTTTAAATCCTGTCAGGTTAAGTGTTTATGATAGTTTTAAGTTCTGTTCATTTCTAAATTACAGTAGATTTTCATGATTTTTGTCAAAAGAGTTGAAGTGCTTGCCGTTCTGGGAGACAAGACATAGTGGCCACAAGTAGCCACTTGAAAAGTGGTCATTCGACATTAAGGCAGGTGGGACCCAACCCCCTGGTTCATGTGCTCTTGATTTCCCAAGTGGCTTTTCATTTTAGGTAACTCTGCTAGGATGAGTCACATCTACGTAAACTAAGTCTTCGTATGTCCCAGACTTCAGTGAAGAAACGTTGGAGTCATCAGTCAATCCAGTGCTACGTTATATATTTGCATACACACACATAAATAAGTCAATCTACGGCCACACAACATGAATCACCAGTAGCCACAAAAACGGTGCTTGCTCTGGTTTTTAGCCTGTCTTGTTTTCTTTCCTGTGTGGCTGTAGGTGATGTGCCAGTGGGTAGAAGACTTGAGAAAAGGCTTGTGCAGATTCTGGTTTCGCTCATTCCCCCTCTTCTTTAATTTGATGGAGGTCATAGTGGTCGGAGTTGTTGGCGCAGCTTTTATTCTGAAAGTCTTAAAGGTCATTTGCCCTTCATGTGAACACAAGTGAGTAACTTTTGCTGTGTTTTTGTTTTGTTTTGTTTTTTTTTAAATTTATCCTGAATCCTCCCGCCACCTCCCAGAGCACAGTGGCAGCTTGGAGTATTTTTGGTAACTATCTTACTAAAGCAGAAAAAGTAGAGAACAAGTTTGTACCAACTGCCCTGCCGCAACAGTAAGTAGCTTAATACTGCCCTTCGTGAACCTCTGAATGAGGTAGAACAAGAAAAAAAAAAAACCCACTGCCAATGATCAAGTTGTTCAGCAGTGTCTGACAGAAACCACCTGGCAGAGGGCAGCACTAAGGACAGGACCCAGGCTGCAGTAATGTCTCCTCTATTCAGAGACTATGTGGCTTGTTAAAGCTTTCCAGGAGACTGCAGTGCTTCAGGAATGATTCTTTTATTTATTTTTCCTTAGGTCTTGTTCTGCCTGCTTTATAAAGCAGTCTTATAAAATGTGGTAAAGGTTTAATTCTTCCTTTTAAATTGACAGGAATAAGTAGAGGGTCTCAGTGGGTAGGGGACATGCTCTCCTGTGACAGTCAGGCCCTCCTTCCAAGTCTGAATTCAGAGCTCTGTGATAGGCTGCTCAAAACAGAGGCCTTAACTAAGAAAATAGCTATAAGAGCCTGTCGGAGCAGTTCTGATGGAAGAAAATTTTAGACTACTATGGCATTGAGCATAGAGCCAACACCACTGGCATTTTAGAAATGGGTCAAAGGAGCTGCCTGAAGTTACAGCTAATATGTGTTGAAAACCTGATGGAAAATTGGTTCCATTCAGACTTCAGAAAATAAGTATCACTAGGGTTAATACTTTAAAAGTACTTTTTTAAAAAGGGAGAGTTTTTAAGAATAAACTGAACTTTCAGAACAAGTAGTGGCTTGGTGTATTTCTTACCCCATCTAATCTTATTTTTCAGAGGCATCCTTCTCCTGAATCAAGACAGCTTTGTGCCTGTGGTTGCCATCAGTTTGCCTACAGAGGTCGCAGACAGGAAAGATAACGTAGACGAGAAAGCACACACCTAATGGGCTCCGACCGGGGAGGGATTGGTTTTGTTTTCCTTAGGAATTTTTAGTTGACTGAAATTTGGCACTTGATTTTAATATGTTGTTTGTTTCCTACTAAGAAAACCAAGCCAGTTGATAAATCGATAAAGGAGGAGGGAGGCTGAGGCCTAAAGCTGCCTTCCCTGGGCCCTGCCTAAACACAGGGCCTTTTCACAAGGTTCAGAATAAAGTTGGTTTCCACCCTGAGGGCTACCATTTGTTTTAACTTCTGTGAAGTCACTGCCCAGCGGCTCGGACAGGCCGCCAGCTGCCTCTGCACCCACAAATCCAACCAACTCAGCTCTCCTAAGTAGTGAGATGAAATCCAGGGCATCATGAAGCCTTGAAACAACCTTGTGCAGTGGAGGAGGGAGCTGTGGCACAGCCATCACGTGCCTGCAAGCCCCAGCAGGGCTGCCCTGCCTGGTTCCAGGTGCAGCAGGGCTGAGCCTGCCTTGCAAGGAAAACCTCACTACCAAACATTGGCGTTGTTAAAGAATCTGACGTGTACAAGCCTCAAATTCAGTTTTAGATTTCAAGCACTTTATACCAGAACTTTCTTTTATGAACCCTTACTCATAGAAATTGTTAGCACTTGTAATGGGCATGCTTGCCGTGAGCTTTATGTATCCAAGACAGCAGTACTTCTTAAAGTCTCAAAACCAAAAAACTATTTATACAAATGCACTGGTTTATTATGACTGAATAGGCCCAGTTTCCCATTCTAATTTGTATTGTTAACAATTTTCAAATAAATATTTGAATTGTTTATTACATGGTGTTCATGTGTGTATATATCTTTCTGCCAAGAACAGCAATTTACAGAACACGTTAGTTGCTTGGTGCTGTTTCTGGTCTTCAGCTTTTGCTGTTCTTTACAAAAAAGAAACTGTTTGTCAGAGGAATGGTGACTATAATGAAAGCAGAAGGAAACGTGATGACCCAGCCTTTGAGCACAGCTGACACAGGAGTGCTCAGGCTGTCCCTGTTTGCTGAAGTTGTTAAGGTGAGGGGGAAAAGCTGGGATTTTCTTTTGTTTCCCCTTCACTTACCCCCTTAGAAATCTCATTATACATGGGCTAATTTTTCCCCTAAGTTACTCAGGCCCTTGCTTGTGCTGGGGTGCACGTACATAGAAGACAATAGGGACCCTTCCTCAAGCTTCCTTCTGTTGTCTTGTTCAGTTTTTGCCACCCCTCCTCATTCCTCAAGGCTTTGTGCTTGGCACTCGGTTCCTCACGCAGAGCTGGGAAAGTGGGCTGGGAAGCCAGGGAACAGGTGGGTGCTGTGGGATGGAGCTGCCCATGGCAGCGCCGGGCAGGACGCTCCCCCGCGAGCACCACCACACCGACCATACAGCAACTTAAGAAAGAAGTGATGCACACATACACGCACACGTAGTGCAAATCTCGGTCAGGATCCCAGCACTTACCTGATAAAACACAGCTGCACCGCGGAGCTAGAGCCAGGCCGGGTGAGGACACGCTCTGCTCCCGTTCTGCTTGCGTGATGTTCCCCAAGGCATAAAAACCTCCCGCCTCTCGGAGCACTAACTGCAGTGGGGACAGCTCTCAGCTGGACCATTTCATATGTCACATTTGCAGTCTTAAATGGCCCCTTAGTGGATTGATTCTGTGGACTAAGTCTTGTGGACTTTCCTTTTTTAAGCAGGTTTGTAAACTTGCATTTAATTATGAGAAGAAATTCCACCTTGCAGCCCAATTGATAACCATAACACCTGTCTGTTAGCATGAGCGTACGTATTTTAAGAGAATGTTTCTTCAAAATGCAGAATGCTCCTGCGTTCTGATGCTTAACTCTGTCCTTTCGAACAGAGACAGAAGTTAATTCGTTCTCTCTTCTGGAGATCCAAGTCTCTACACTTACCTGAAAGCTCAGGCAAACTCACCTGCAGTTCCCTCCTTCCCAGGTCACCCGCCAGGTCCGTGAGGGCGCTCAGGTGCTCGCAGCAGTATCTGCGGCCACGGCTCCCCACGGCAGCACTCCGTGGCATCTCTTTGCCCCCACGTCGCTGTGGAAATGCCTCTCCCGGGGGTGTAGCTCCTTGTGCCGCAGGCACGAGGGTAACGAGACCCTTGTACAGCGGCGGCTGCAGCCCCACGTGCTGCTCTCGGCCTGCTCTCCTCCTTGCGGCCCTCTGTCCTCGCCAGCCGCCGCGCGCAGGACGCCAGCGGCTGCCCTCGCGCGCTGCACCCACCAGCTGGAGAGAGTTGAGGCGTGCTTGGTTCAAGAAGCTCCATGCTTTTAGCTGCACGCGGAAGCACAGCCATCGGGCTCTGCAGAGATGAGCTATGCGGTTTTGAAATGTAATAGGTATTTTAAAGGCGAGGGGCCAGAAGTGATAGAGGTCTCAGTTACTATGACCAGCAAAGCTATGTTCAATAAAAATCTAAAATTACGACCTTTGTGGTCACTGTCAAATTGTTTCTAGAGAACTATTTTTACATTGCATTTGTCAAAATAAGGCAAAAACTGTAAATAATCCAAACTATAAGCAGGCCTCAATGGGACGCAAGCCTGGCACGCACACTGCTCTTATCACTATAGCCCTACCAATAAAACACCACGTGTAAACCAGAGGCAGGTCAGGGGCTGAAGTTTACAGCACAACACAAGGAAGAGGGAAAAAGAAAGAAGTTTCTGAAGCAACGTCCATGAGATTCCCATCTTCTCTCAGAACGAGGAGGAGGCCACAGCAGTAGCTTACGAGCCACGACACTGCTGGTGCACGCGGGCGGCCTGGGCTCACGTGCCAGCACCACCCGGCAGCCCCGTCCTGCCGCGATGCTCTGTCACGCGCCTGAAGCCTAGGTCGACACAAGCACCTGCGAGCAGCGCGCGGGCAGCCGGCCTACCTCCCATCTCTGCACAGATCCTTTAACAACAGATTAGAACGTTTAAGGCTGGAACTCTCTAGGATCGACCAGCAAACGTTCCTAACAACCATTTCCTGGTTTGCAGCATCCATCAGTCACCTAGCAGGGCTAGTTTCTTTGCTGTTAAAATACAGTTATTTAACCAACAAACAAACAAACAAACAAACCCCACACTTTTATGCAAAACTTACTGGAAGTTTAAAATTTAAGTTACTTTTAAAAACCTCGAAGATCAAAGCAGATTCCATCAATAACTCACATATTTGAGGAAAAGAGATAAGAAATAACTTCCAGGCTAGTTCAAAAAGAACTAGAGAATTTGCATTTTAAAAAAAAATTTATTTAGCTATCTGTTGCTCTTAAATTTAATTACAAAAGTTAAAAAGAGCACTCAGTGCACTGACACACTACTTATTACTTCTGAAGCTGTTTTAAGACGCAAGGTGGCTTCTCCAAGATAAGACAACTCAGCATGATCCAAATTCAACTATCCATTTTTCATATTTCTCAATGTCCGCAGCAGATACAGATTTAGAAACTTTTCTTAAAGCTATTTCAAAGTCTTCCATAGTTGTTGGCATGTGCATTTCGTCTCGGGAGAGGTTTCTTATCTCCTCCGGCGTCAGGCCTTCAATGCGCCTTCTCATGGCCATCAGCGACGCATCCCTGGTGGAAAGGAGGATAAAGTTACTCAGCAGAGAACGGTGGCTCAGCACTTCAAAGGGCTCAAATCAACATTCCAGTTAAGCTGGTGTCTTCACAAGGAACACCACAAAACGGAGAACTTCCATGGAAGGATCATGCTAACAAGGTACCCTGAGAGCCTGGCCCTTTACTAGAGGCCACGCTGAGCCCCTATATGGGGGAAGAGGCTGGAACGTCTCCCGGTGCCAAGGGGCACCCTGCGGCACACAGGAGGGGTCTCCAGCACCTGCCTCCACGATGTCTTCACGGGAAAGAGCTTAACTACGGCACCCGCTCAGCGCCCTGCAGACACCTCGCTCTCCTGCTGCGGGACGTTTACCCAGGGCACGTGCACCTCCAGCACCGAGGCAAGCAGCAGTAGGTGACAAGGTGAGCTGAACGCTCAGCAGGCAAGGTAACACTGCAACGCTACAGCTCACACTGTTCTACTACTATACAGTTTATTACTGTAAGAAAACACAACTATTTTTGTTTTGCAGCACAAATTGATGGAGGAATCCAGGCTATGCTATAGCATACAATAACGCCATAGCTTTATTAGTTGGTGAGGGACCAAAGCAGCAAAAGCTCAGAGGAGCAGCCCGCTTGGGGAAAGACAGGCCACAAGCAAGTGCCTCAGTTACACTTACGCGCTCAGCTAGCAGGGGGGCAGGCTGAGCTTTCTCCTGCAGGGCCACGCTGAAGATCTATTACTCTAGGCGTTATTGGCAAAAAAGCAAACCCAAAAGGACACCTTGAGACCACCCGCCACCCGAAACCACCCGGCAGGTTTGCAGCTACAGCATGCAGGTTTGCAGCACTGCTCTGCTCTTTGCTCAACACCTATGTAACGGCAGCAGTACATGGGGCTGCAGAAACCTTGGCGCGCGGCAGCACCTCGGCAGGCAGACGCACGCACAAAATCTGGACGAGAATCATTAAACTTAAGGTACTACGGCCAGCCAGGGGCCAAGCAGCTTCCTAGGAGGCATTCAAGTGAAATGTCTGGAGGCAACCCAGAATTTTTTCCCAACATGACTTTTTACAGGAAGGACTTGCAGTTTATTTTCCTGACAGAGAAACTCATCTCACTCTCTCCTATTCACATCTTCAGGGAGAGCTGCATGAGTAATTCACACCACCTCTAGCAAGACTTGCAAAGACCATTTCAGCACGTTCTGTTTCATGTATTCCCCAGGGACAATGCAACTCACCAGATAATCTTTGGCAATGAGAAAGCAGAACACAGTCACTGGAGGTGAACACTTCACAACAACATTAAAGTGAACTTGCTTGTTAAACTTTGCCTTAGCATTTGGGAATTGAAAGCTGATGTTAAACAATATGCAGGAGGAAAAAAAAAATCCACACAGCTAACAAGTCTCAAGTTACCAGTTTTCCAAAATCAAGCACAGCTGCCACTTTCTTCAGTGCAGTCATTTTGCTGACAGTTGCTGCAACTTCAGCTGTTAGCGCTCCCTAGATGCACCCTTTGTGTCTGGAGAAGCACCAAAACTACAGTCAAAAATAGGAAAGCATCCACTGGAGTGAAAGCTCCGCCCCACAGGCCTTCCGACCTTCCCTTCCCGCTCAGGACAGTGACAAGCCAGTTTACGCTGACACCTAATAAGCAATTTAGTCATATTTTACATACCCTGAGTGTGCCTTTAAAAAAAAAAAAAAACAGGAAAAATGGCAATGAAACTTTTTTATCTGCTGACTGTTAGTAACTGCACTGTTATCTCCCCCTCTCTTTCACTCCGGCACAGCAAGCTTAATATTTCAGCTCAAATTCTTTAAGATAGCAGAATAATGTGAGCAAAACATAGCCCTTGGCTCACTTCTTGCCTAGCTTCTGTGTATGTTACTAGCAAGTACTGTTACATTCTACAAGTTTGTTCTACAATCGTGGTAAAGTTTGTATATTAGTGCCAAATTACACAGAAACACTTTTATATCAGCCATGGGTCTTTTTGTCTCAGTATAAATGAAGGTCTCGTCAAAAAGAGAGGCCACCCCCAACACCAGTAACAAGATACAGTTACTGGTAAACGAATACGAGTACTCAAATTAGCCTGTGCACTTACATGTCACACTCATCCAGACAATGTACATACAGATGAAGTTCACACAAAAATGTTACAAACCCTGGCTTTTAAGCAAATGTATTGGCTTCCAGACTAGGAGTAATTACAAACAGCAAACAGACTGGTGGAGACAAACTGCAACTAAAATGCACAAAGTAACGGGCCAACTGAAAGTGAATCTATTATCACAAAGCCCTGTGAAAGCATAAAGAACACCTAAGCAAAGGCTAAGCAAAAAAAGCACTACAAATTCATCTGTAAACCTACAGCTAGCACACATCTACAAACACTGTTTTTCATCAACTAACACGTGACTTCTCCTCGACACTGCAAAATCCTGCTGAGATACAATAAATCTGGAGGAGTTTGGAAAGATGAAGAGTTAAGGTTTGCTCAGAAAGCAGTAGTGAGCTCCCAAGCTCTCTGCTCAGCTGTAAGTGACCCTTCTGATGGAGCCTTTGGTGGTAATTTTGGCTACAGGCTGCTCAAATCCCGTTGGCATGCTGCTGCAGCACAGCATACTGCCCTCTGTTGTGCCAACCAGCATCTGCAGGGCTGTGTTATAAATCGGGGCAAGAAATGGGGCTGGGTTTGAGAAAAGTGAAAAGCTCTTATTATATGAAAATTAAAAAAAAAAAATCCAGGTAAATATTAACAGAGTATTTCACTTTCCAGCTATACATAAACAACAGTCTATTCTTACCCAGTAGTTTTAACCATGTCAGTTTACTTCGTTACTTTAAGACAGTCTTCTCACAGTTTATAGTAGTATCACAAATGATGCAACGAAGAACATACCTGCACACATTGGTAATGTCTGCACCTGAGTAGCCCTCCATTTTCTCGGCTATATTTGCAAGGTCAACATCATCGGCCAGTTCCAGCTCTCGCAGGTTTATTTTCAGGAGCTCCTCTCTACCTTTTGCTAACCAAAAACCAGAAAATTTAGTCTATATAACCTGGTTTCTAAAGATAAATAAATTGAAGAGTCTGTACCTGATACAAAGGTATGTTTCACATTTAGATTTAACACGATCTCAAATTCATTATAATTTGGCACTCAGTTATCAAGAATATTTTGATATGAGGTAACCAAGATTAAATGAATACCGATAAAGTTCTGATTTTGGTCTTTTCAAGCCCCTGCTCCCTGCAAATGTTTATACCTGATGGCAAAGGAATGTAAATCCTCTTTTCTAATCTCCGCCTCAAGGCTTCATCAATATCCCAAGGAAAATTAGTAGCAGCAAGTACCATAACCATCTTAGAAGGATCATCATTTTCAGTAGCTCCTCCAACACCTGTGTTAGAGAAAACACAAAATAAAATGTATGTATTTTGTGAAATTTTATGCACAGCTGGAGCAATATGCATAGTTCCATTATATTAAAGCAGCTATTCTACTAAAGCATTAGTTTAGTTGCTCCTACATCTGGCACCTAGGAAGCAAAAACCAAGAATCAGTTTTACAAGGAGCATCGGCACGGGATGCACAAGCTGAGGAAGCTCCTCCCTCATGGCTGGAACACTTCTCCAGCAGAGCTCTCCACACCTCTGCCACCACACTTACAGCGGCACACTAACATCCTGTGTCCTGTAACAGCTTTTCTTTTTCAGGGCAGGGAGGAGAGGGAAGAAAGCAGGGAAGTGGACAGAGCACGCAAAAACCCTCCTCACTGCCCCATCAAACATGGTTTTTACTAGCAGCCATGTCAACAGGCACTACTCCTCCCTCTCTCCAAGAGAGTCTCTTTACTTCTTGATTCAGGCTCATACACTCGGGTAGATTCTTACAGACTTCTGCAGACATGAATGCTCTGGCTCCATGCACTGAACTGCAACTTGTTTCACAGTGCTGGAGGGACCGAGGTGCTTCTCCTGCCCATAGCAACTGCTATATGAAAGACTTGCATTTCATTAAACTTGCTAGTCTCTGCATTTACTGCTTTTGCTTACGGTCACAAGGTTGGGCCCTTTGGATCTAGTCTCTCCTCAGATTTGCATGTAAAATATCACTTATGAACACTCAAGTAAAAGGACTTCAAACAGTTGCTACTATTAAAATTAGCTTATGCACGTACTTGCATTATGAGTTTTAGAGCTCTGCTGCTATTCAAAATGAAACATAAAAGGGCAGCAACACTAGGGACTGAAAAATAAGCAAATCTACTGATTTATGGATTTCTATGAAAAAATACTCCATAGATTAGGACTTTTCAGTTGCTCCTTTCCTTCTCTCTTTTTAAAAAGGTATAAAAAGATCCAAGACTACCTGTATAAAGTTTTATCTGTGCACAATGTTGCTTACTTTTAACTTTGCTGTTCTGCTAAATACTAAGCGATTTGTTATAAATTCACTCAATATGCTAGAGGGAAAAGTCCCATAGCTACTTCTATAAAATCTTTTATTTATATCCTTAGAGGAAAACAGAAGATCCCAAAGAAGTTCAGCACAGTGTCAGACTTTCAAGTTTCAATTGGCACAGGTGACAGTTATTTTGAATCCCTTCTCCAAAAAAAAGTTAAAAGCAAGTGATGAGTTAAGGACCCGGGGGGGAGAGAGAGAAAGGAGTCATCTTCAGCACTACCCTTTTATGCAGGCAAGTAATACACTGTTTCCCTGCAGTTTTGAAATCTTGCATTCTGCACTGAATTTTCATTATTCTGCGTGAATAAAATACAGTATCTCTTTTCTTCCACGCTGGCAGATAAAATAGTGCATTTGTGGGTTTTTTTATCCCAACTTAAAGGGAACTGCCTGCAAGAAATTAAATTTGGATCTTTTCTTCCCTCAAGCTTCCTCCAATCAAAAACTTCCTCGTTATCAGGCTCCTCACCATCCATCTGGACGAGCAGTTCTGCTTTCACACGCCTGCTGGCTTCATGTTCCTCTGAAGTGCCCCTGCGACTGCAAATGGAGTCTATCTCATCTATAAATATAGTTGTCGGGGCATAAAATCGAGCCTAAGGAAAAGAGAAGATAAATCAGAAACAAAAGATTGGTAAGATGGTTAGAAATAATTAAGGACAAATTTATCCCAACAAATCAGCCCTAAGTAGCAAGCAAAAAGCTATAAAATAACCCAACCTTCTCCAGCTTTGGCCGTTTTACACAAATATAAAGTAGCTGTAAGTTCATTAATAACATTTGAGGAGAACAGTGTTTTGGGAGCATCCTATGATCGTTGAGGCTAAGGCAAATATTTATAAGATTATCTCCCCTGTGCACAACTGCCTTTACTTTGTGATTGTGCGAAAGCCATCACCAAATGGTTGATTAAGAACTCTCTGAAAGTTAGGACTAATGCTAAGTTAGGATATCATGTCACTGGAAGTCATGCACTACAATATATATCACTATCAGTTTCTGAAGTAATCTTCCAAGAAGCTGGTCCTCTGCAAGTTAACCCTAAACATTCTGAAAGATGAAGGAAGCCAAAGAGAAAACCATCTGCTATAATAAAAGTAACTCTCCTATAAGCTCCTGTGTGTGCACACAGTTTTCATAGCCAGGCATGATATTAATCTGCCATAATGTGGTCAAACTAAGTTGTAAAACCTGATCCTGAATTCTCTAACTTTTATAGCTACTGCAATTACAACTCCAGCCTTTAACCTCCCATCCCTTTCAGCACTGGACACCCTAGGAAATAGTGCACATGGACCCAGTTACACAAAAAATTCGCACATGGATCCAGTTACACAAAAAATTTGCATGCTCTGGAGAGATTTCAAATGTTACAAGCTCTGAAGCCAACTATGTAGTTGATGCAGTCTGGAATTCTGTTTACAGAACATTCCCAGAAAACAAGAGCCTACCTAGGCTGTGTGAGATTCCTACATAAAGATTTGCCTCCAAGCATGTTCTACAGCACTCTTCAGTTTATAGTGAGCCACTTGTAATATAACAAACTCATGCCAAAAATAAAGATGCCCCTTTTTTCAGTTAAACTATTTACCAATAAAAAAAGATGTTCAGTGTACATGGCCAGATCTGGCAGCGTTCGCAGACTGTGAAACTTTATGCTTGCTATAGAACCTAGTTTTGCAAGATTTCCCTATTGCAGAAGTAATTCTATTTCATTATCACATTATTTACATTAGGAAAGTTTGGTCACCATTTCAAACAGTAGACGAACAAGTTTCTCAGATTCGCCTCTGTACTTTGAGGTAAGTGTGGAAGAAGAAACATTGAAAAAAGTTGTCTTGCATTCAGTAGCTACAGCCTTTGCCAGAAGGGTTTTTCCAGTACCAGGAGGACCGACCATTAGCACACCCTATTAAAAGAAGATGAGATCCCACTTTTAGGACAGAAATCAAGACGGACAGCTTCACCATTCGTTTATAGCAGACTATCAGATCACTAGATGAGAAATTTTGCTCTAAGAATTACTCAAAGCTAAGTAACTAAGTACTATTGCTCTCTAGAAGCAATATCAATAACACAGTTGAAAAGTGTATTTATTTTAGCCAATAGCTTTATTTTGTTACTACAGCCTGCCATAGATTACAATATTAAAAGTGGAAAGAAATTATTTCATCTGTACGAACAAGAATTTACAACTGTTCTCTAACACCTGATGTCAGAATCCTATTTACGAACACAGGATTGGATTTCCTACCTTCCATGGTCTTCTAATTCCCTTAAAAAATTCTGGCATCCACATTGGTAGAACTACAGCTTCTTTGAGTAGCTTTTTGGCTTCCACTAAATCAGCAATGTCATCCCTGATATAAAACAAAAAAGTGGTTTAACAGATTAAAACACGCTGCAAAAATAATTTATTAACTCAATTAAATACGCAACCAAATGCCCTGCTACATAACGCCTATTCCATAAAATAGATTATGGAGTTGGGAGTATTTAATTTCTAATGGGAAAAGCCTACAGCCATAGTTGTCATTTAGTTCATAGACTCCAGGGAAAGGAGAGGTGGGGGAGAAACCACATCTTGCTTCATTAGAGCATCACTGCTCTTATTCACCGAAACAGAATAAGGAGGATAGGGCAAGTTGCGATAAACTTATGTTAGTTGCAGTAGATCCTTTCTGTTATGCTAAAAAGTTGGCTGCTCCAGAAATTCCAGTAGCAACTTTCACCATCAAGTGAACAATCTACTGAAGTTCAGTAGACAGAGCTGAATTAAGGTTTTTTTTTTTTTTTTTTTAAGAAATCATTTTCAAAAAGTTTTAAGTGAATTAAGTCTTAGAAACTCTATATGCTGGTCTCTTTTTTGATGGCAGCTCTAAGTGCATTCCCCTTATCAGTATATGTCCAAATAACATTTCAGTTACAAAACATTGAAGAATTAGTTTCAAGTCTGAAGTTATTATTTAAAACTCAGTACAAAACCCGAACACTATATTTACATATTAACCAAAATGCACGTCATGTGCCACATACAATTCTGAGTTTTTTAAAGCCGTCTTTATTTGCAAGAGATTTTTTGCTCGTTTAATCCCCACAAAACCTCCCGAGCTCAGTAACATTCAGAACACAAAACAACCTTTGTGTAAGGCTTAATATTTAACACATTTATGTAAAGGCACTGACAGGGAGCTGTGTCTTGTACCGGAAGTCACAGCATGTCCAGAACCAATTCAAAGAATTCTATATTGACAAAACATCCCTATTAATTAGCTTTTGATCCCTGCTATCCTTTCTGCTGGATAGCAAGACAGCTTGTTAAACCAAGAAACAGTGGCAAACAACAGTCTTAAACGCAGCAAAGTACCATCTCATAACCTAGTTTCAGGATTCTCTGGGAAAAGAATGAGAACCTTGTATGGCTGGAATGGGGGAAGGCAGAGGGGAAAATCTGAGTTCTTAAAAAAAAATACACTAGTTGTCTATTTAATGTGTAAAGTAAAAGCTGTGGACATATGTAGGCAGGTGTCAAAATATTTAATTCTTGTCAGGTTATAAGAGGAAAGGGAGTTGCAACTCAAAAAAAAAAAAAAGACACACTATTTTTAAAACTTATACAGTATTATTCAAACTTACCATCTAATGTTGGGATTTTGAGAAATTATATCTCTTTCTAAAGCTTCTACTAAATCTTTATCATACCCAGTACCATCAAATTTCTTTGGTTCAGATTCTGAAATCTCAGATGTGGATTTGTTCTACATAAGAGAGATACAGCACAGCATCAGCTATGTTACCAGTAGTTTTATTTTTAAATATCAAGTCCACAATAGCATCCTGTTTTCTAGAAGAAGGCAATTCAAAACAGCACCAGTTATGAGGCATCTCTTTTATTATTGACTGTAAGACAAAATAAATGACAGAAGGCAGTCTGAAAACAAGGAAGCCACATAGCCAAAAGGACTCAGAAAATACCCAAACAAACCAGAAAGACTTGTGGGGTGAGAGGGGAACAAAAATCCCCCCAGTCTTCTCTGTCCTGCATGCATATGCGAGTGTGTCCTTGGTGATAAGGACTATCACATAAACACCACAGTTTAGCTCCTAGTAAATAAAAGCAGGAGCCTGATATAGACACCCATTACATGGATTGAAGAAGCTAATAAAACCCCTGTTTCACACAGGCATTTGATTGACTTAAATTCTGTGTTGTAGTTATCAAAAAAAAATTATCTTCAGTATGATCTCTTATTTTGGTCATCAAGTAAAATTATGAAAACTACAGTGCAGACAAGACTTAAAACACTCACTGATTACAAGGACTACAACATAGATCACCCTCCCTCCCAAAATGTATTTGTTTGTTTGTTTTAAACTGAGAATCCAGAGCTACCACCAGGTTAAAGACTAGAATACACACAAACACACACACACCCTCCCCGAAACGATCCATTTAAAATTAAGTTTCTGAAAACCTGTTTCCTTGCACATAGTCCGAAACAGATGATTCAGGCTCGCACCAAGATATGCAAAAGCAACACAAGAACCCACGCGCTCACTCTATGAGGCCTGGCTTCAGCAACTCAGTATTATAATTTTATGCAACTATTCCAAAGCTGTAGTAAAAAAGCCCACACTTAAAAAAACGGACAAGTGACTTCTAGTCTTAAGAGTAGTTCCACCAGATTTTTTTTTTTAAAAGCTTTTTTAATTAGTCCATTTCATACCCTTCAGTCGTCAGTACTGTGCATAAAGCAAAGGTACCTTACAAAGCAAGACTGAAGCCTGCACGCTGGCTTGGACAGATGAAACATTTTATAGGCATCCAATTTTGGCAGAATCTCAATACTAAGAAAGCAAGAATCCAAGTCCCCAACATTCAGCACGTTATTTGCGAGCTTACCTTCTCCTCCTTTCCTTTAATTTGCTGCTCTTTCTTTTCCCGGCCACGGACTGCCTTCCCTTTTTCGCTGGGATTTCGGGAGGATGGACGGTGGGGGCCTCTGACTGCTGCACTTATACGATTATTGTGACCTCTACAATCACTGCACTGAGCAGACTGACGTTTCCTGGGTCCTGGCGAAGGTCTAATTAGTCACAACATATGCAAAAAGCCTCAGTGTGAAGCCACTGGAGAGCACTACATAACCACATCAATTAGTTATAAACTGTAAAAGCCTTTTTGCTAAAGATAAAAATCTATATGTATCTGTATATATCAGTATTTCACTCACTGAAATTAAAGGTGTCACAAGACTTATATTAAGAAAGTCACTAAAAATTCACTTTCCCTTTGCGACCGACTCTAGTTTCATTATTTGCTTAAAACAAGCTCCTAGCTTTGCATATTATATAAATAAAAGTAATCCTGGCATAAAGGAGCTTATAAAAAGAAAAGTCAACAGATTTTCTCCTTAGCACAATATCCTCACTCAATCTCTCACCCAAATGAATTATGAATGTCTGTCTTATTTTCACTTCCTTCAAAGGAAAAGTTTGTGTGTCGCGCGAAAGAGATCTGGTCTCTCCCATCATTGCCTCTACTGACAGAGTAGCTCATAGCTACATAAAAGAATGGCTCATTTAAAATGTAACTCACAGACTTTCAGATTCCAGCTTCTAAGATAAATCATAAAGTGATAAAGTGAAATGAGAAAACACACCAAACTACTCATAAAAAGCACATGTAAATACCAACTCGGATCTCTTAGAAAGATCCCCAAAGCAAAACAAATACTTTTTGTTTCCTGTCCCAAAAATTATTTTCTCAAGAGTTTGCATTTTAAAAAGACTCTCCCCACAAAAGAAAATCATATAAAATTTATACTTGAACAGTCCTACCACTTATACATTAAGTATTAACTGACCACCAATACTTAGCCACCTCTGAATTCCGCCCTTAAGCTCAATGTACAGGAACAATTTACACTCAAAGCCTTCCTAAATTAATTACCTCTGATTTCTCAACATAGTCTGAGTTTTCACCATGGCTTTTCATATTACCACAACTCAATACTTAATCAGTCCACAAATAAATGAAATGGACAAAAAGTGAAAGACTGGAGTAACCTAACGTTTAGAAATACTGTGTTTCTCTTCTATAGAAAACGAGAAAAAAAAAATCTTAAATTCCAGATGCTAGATGGAGAAGCAAACAAACAAGCAACCCCTTCAAAATCTCCATCATTAAAGACTGAAGTCTTCAGTCTGTGAGAATGAGCTGTCAGAGACTCAGGAAGCAATCTGACAGAACCACTAAGTTGATCTAACAGGTATTTTCTGTCAAAAGGCACAATCCCATGTCTGCCTTGCATACACCCCTGTTTCCTACCTCACGCTACATTTAAATTTGTTTTGGCATTTGATTCCCCCCAACTAACTCATAAGGAGGAGGGAAAAAAACAAAACAAAAAACATGCTCCACACACCTAGGCCTGGAATAAAAATTGGGTACCAAATGAAGTGTAACATTAGTCAAGCCTACAAAAATGAACAGCAAATTGCTAGTGTTTAAGCACTGCATACCTAAAATCTAGAACCAAAATAAAGCATCAGCAGCCTGAAGGCAAAACACACTGCCCTGATATACATAAATGTAAGTCTTCAGGTAAGTCTTCCCTTACCTACTTTCAGCAGGTACTGGCAAAGACCAGACCTCTGCATCATGAGCTGGTAATTCTTGTTGTGAAGCTTTCAGTGGAGTACTGTCTAGCTTAAAACTCTCTAGTGTTTTCATTATATCTTTCACATGCTTAGCTTCCACACTTATCTCCTGCCAAACCTGACAAAAAGAAAAAAAATAAAGCAGAATAAGCATATTGCAAGTAAGTTTGTAACAGTCTTCTCAAACTCTATGCAGTTTCTGCCTTGATTCCACAGTGTTTCACAAGCTAGCCTGATCTACTGTGTTAAGCAAGAATAATGCACATCAGATACTAAGAATGCTTTTATCTCTTCCTCAGCACATTTTTAAGAGCAAACAAAGAGCAAATTTTTGAATTTAATATCAAAGATACAGAGACTTTTGGCACATTTGGCTTATTAAACAAGCACCACCCGGCGGAACGAAGAGCAGTGAAAAAAACGGTGTTTTGTGTTATGGTTAAATTGACATGGTAGCCGTAATTCAGCTTCTATTAAGGATCCACAAGTCACATTACTGAAATATTGAGAGAGGAATAAGACTATTCAAGATAAGAGCAGCCTAATGCTTTAGCATCACAGTAGTATTCAGCAGTGAAAAGCTGAGAGCCAGACAGAGCTCTGCCCCTCGGCACAGCTGCTTTGCATGGCCTCTTCTGCCAGTGTCAGAGCAAGAAATCACAGTGAAGACTGGAATAAGTCCGAATGATAATGCCAGAGTTTTATCAGAGCACTGTGTAGATAGCAAATCTTGATAGTTTAATACTTTTCCCCCAGAAAAAGGATATTTACCTGCTGCCATTTCTGTTGCAGATACGCATCTCTGACGGAGTAGAGGTATTTATTCATTTGGTCAAGAACTCCCTGGTAATAGACCATCGCAGAGTCATAGTTGCCCAACAGAGCATATTCACGGGCCAGCTTTACATTCTCACTAATCATAACAAGGCTCATGTTCAACATGAAGCTGAAAGAGATAAGGAATATTTATGTTAAGAAAAATCCCACAATGCAGGAACACCACAGGTTTTTACAACTATTTGCACATGATTACCACCTTACTAGACCTATCGAAACACAGCAGCAGGAAGTAAATTGATCAGAAAAAGGTTCTAGGAAAAAATAAATGTGATCAATATAGAAAGGTAACTGGGCTATTCTATTATTAGAGATGAAACTTGTTTTTCCATTTTTTTCTTGTGTGATGAAGATTTTGTTGAAAAGCATGTAAAAGACATAGAAGTCTTGCAAATTGTGTATGACCCAGAATCACAAACTCTGCCACTCTTTTTTTCCCCCCTTTTTAAGACAAGTAGATATTTCCTTGTTAACACTACAACATTCTCCATACTACATAATTTTATGCATGTTAAAAAAGGTCTCCTTCCACCAGACGCATTAAGTTTTGTTAAATTTGTTGCCTTACCATTCCAGGTATTTGAGTTTTACAGTCTGACTTTGTATTGTGGAAAATACTGATTCTCCATTTGTTTGATTTTACAACTTTTCACTTCTACTTAATGTTTGAAAGAAGCATTAAATGTCCATCTTTCCTACCCTGCTTCTTCCTTCCCATCACCTTCACTATTACACTTAAAGAAATACGAAAAGTATCAAGTTTGCTAGAATATCACTGAAAAGTAAGGGAAAGACAACATTTACCATGTGGCTAGACACTTCATTTAATGCATAGCTCAAATCATGGCATTTCTCCCACGAAGCGGTTTTTGGAAGCAAATAACAGACTAGTACCACTTGCACTTTGCAGCCTTAACAGAATCCAAACATTTAGACTATAACAACATAGAACTATTATTTAAACAAATATGGTAATAGTAGAAGCAGCAGACGTATCCATTATGGTCCAAGCACAGTCCATATGGGAATGTTCCTCTGCTCTTCTCCATCACTTACACCTCCCCACCCGCTTCTGCTCCAATACTGATGCCATTCTTACTTCAATTTCCCTGCTTTACTCCAAGCTTTGTAGAACCCAGCACAAAAAAATAAGAGAATAACAGGCCTGCAGCGAGGTCTCCTTGCTCTCATTGCAGTACCCGCACCCAGTCAGTACCAGTAATAAATAACTGCAGACAAGCAACTACTGCTAAGCCCTAGGATGAAGCGTACTTGATAGAGATCAACTATTTAAAGAATGTAAGAGGTACTAAGTCCTTACTGTGCATGCGAGTTTAAGACTGAAAACATTTCAAGAGCAGGTCATGGTCAAATCCGAACACGTTATGAGAGGTTTCCAAAAATCACACTTTGCAAATTAGATGATCCACTGCTAAACATAAGTCCCTGTTATAACGAGGAACTAAATACAAATGAAATATTGTAAGACTTGCACTTCTTTCTTTGTTCTTTTCCCCTCTTTCTCCAAGCAGTTTTATTCTTGGGTATGCGGCTGATACAGCCAAAATCCTCTTATTTTTTTCCTTCCTTCCTCCTTTTTCCCCAAAGTTACTCAGAAGCAGACAACTACCATGAAAAACTTCAGTTCAAATAGCAAAACTTTGGCAATAGGACAACTGAAGACAGGCTTCATTAACAGGAAATGAAAGGTGAACTGGAAAATCAGTATTATCAGCTGTGCCTATAACCACATTCTTTGCTAGTCTCTTTTCTTACAGAGTAATTCCAATATTGTTATATCACATACTTGTCACCCAGGCCCTCCCACATGCAGGGATCCGCGGAGCTGAGCTCAATCTCCTGCTCTCACAAGGATCTGCGCTGTAAAATCTCCATGAGGCCACAGACTCGGAGAGCGAGACACAGTGTCTACCAGTGATGTGGTTAATGGGACCAGCAGTAGAGAGCGAGACACAGTGAACACAGTGACACAGTGATGTGGTTAATGGGACCAGCAGTTGCAATGACTGCCACATCCCAGCTCAATTAGGCTTTGACATGTAATCTGCCTTGGGAGTTTTGTTGCTTCTACCCCACGAAAAAGGGCCTTAAGATGTCTGTGGACTGCTGCGTGGCTCATCAGGCAGATATTACTATGGGGTTTTACTACTATTTTTAGGATGAGCCCAAGTGGAAAAGCTTGCTCCTACCAGATCCACCTGTTTGCCCATCTTGAGATGACTAACCCTGCTGAAATCACAAGTTGAGCAACAAGTTAATAAACACTTTATAAATCAAGTAATAGCAAGTTACTAAAGCCCAACTAGACTTTCAAACAGAGGGAGAAGTCATCTATAACTTCTTACACTGAATGCTCTTGAGCAGCCCAAAAGCCAGTTCCGTTCAAACATCCACATGAGAAAGCCTATAGGAGAGTTCTTTTTTGAAGAGAAAAAAAATAGTAAGAATGAAAAATGCCAAAGAGCCTAAGAGAGAAAAGCTTGACAGAAAGCTCCAGAACCATGGTAAGAACAGGAGTAAGTTTGTTTTTTAACAGGAGAAGAAAAAAAAAATACAGGAAGGACTGAAAGAACACAAAAAAAAGCTAAATATTACACAAAAAAAGAAAAACTGTTCACTTAAATTTCTAATCTTCTAACGCAACCAAAGCAGTGCATACATAAGTAGATAACAGTCTATCAATTTCATCAGTGGATCAGTATAGTAAACATGTGCGAGAATTTAGTTTAAACTAGCAAAATGCAATTTATTGCTTCCCACTGAGTCATGGGCGCAGAAGAGCTTAGGAGGGCTTTGACATACGAGGCTCTCGTGCGCGTGCGGGCAGGAGGAAGCTGCTGCCTCTGCCCTTGCGCCCGGCCGTGCTGCTGCCGCTGCCCTGGTGCTGCCCTGCGGCCTCGTTGCGCTCGTGCTGCCGGTGCCATGTGGGATACGGGAGGCACGTGCTTGGAACGATCTGGAAGCCATGTGCGCTACAGGCATGTGAGTGTACACGAGTACATATAAATCCGGAGCTAAACCGGCCCACAGCTATAAAACAGAACTAAAATAGTCTAGCTGTGAATCACTTAACAGTTTTTACTTTTCAGTATTTACAAATACCTAGAACTACCATGTCACAGGATGCCAAAACAGCAAGGCAGCCCTTATCAACTACAGCCACTCTGTGAATCATATCCAGGGAAGTTATCTGTGCTCTAACAGCAACTAAAATACCAGTGGGCTTGTGAAGTTTATGCCAAACAGAACGCAAGTAATGCAGGCATTGTGTCTTGTAAATTTAGATCTACACTGTGTGTACATAGACATATGCACCCACACAACATAAAGACTCTGCGATAAGAATACTTGTTCAGTACACTGCTTATGAATGTTTATAGTTCCCAGAGACAAATGCAATAGAAATCCATCAAACTACCCATCTCAGAAAAACCATCTCTAGTAACAGGACACATTCTGTTATTTGTTCCAAGCACTTGGGATACTTCTAGAGCTTCAAACAGCAAGAACAGCATGGGTTAAAACCTAACACAGTTCAAAAAATCCTAAATCTTCTCAGAGTCAAGTTTTAGAATTTATTTTTATATTATATTTTTGTATGGTATTTTAAAGACAACAGCCTCGCAACAGCTTGAAGAAATTACTAAGTATCCAGGCTTGGTCATATTCGTTCAGGAAGATTTTTGGAAATGTGTAAAGCTGAGCAGGACCTCAATCTTGTTTCACAAATACATCCCCTACAACATAAGAAATTAATATTCAGATATTGGAAGAAGGGAGTAAAGCTGAGGTCTACCAGTTGCTGCAGAGGTCCAGCAGCCCTTTTCTCATGTAGGGCAGAGCACAGACAGCAAGAGGAAGTTATTTTGGAAAAATGCTTCAGCACAACACGGACATTTGGGGCTACGTCAGATGTTGGCAGTGTACAAATTTCTATTATTTGATATCAAATCTCCTTAGCCGACTGAAAGTAACCATGGCAATTCAGAGTTCAGCAAACTAGAAGATTAAAAAAAAAAAAAGAAGTAATAGCTTTTAGGAATCAAGTTTTGTTCACGATACAGTTTGGCCTGTATCACCTGTGAGTTCATTTTCGGCTTTAACATCCTGCTTCAAAACTCTCCGAGCAATATTCAGTATCAGTGGGCAATTGTGTTAACTATTCAGGTAATATTAGTTGCCAGATTTAGTGGATACGAAACAACAACTCTCATTTATTTATTACACTCAACAGTCGTGGTGACAAAAGGAAAAACATCAGCAACCATGAAGAAAAACATACTTAAGCTTTCTGTTGAGACAGAAGAAAACAAAACAAAACATTAAGCTGTCTTCCAACAGAGCTTCTCCTTTTTATGCTTTCAAGACCGAGGCTTTCTGAAACACTGTTGAAGTCACGTTATTTATTCCCCACTTGACAGGCACCGGCATATTTTAGACGGCCCGTATCAACCTACGGAGCTTCTCGCAGAAAGCGCTTCTAAGCAGTAATGTCCCCCGCCTCCCTCTGCTAGGGGAGAAGCTACGGACACGGCTTCCAAAATGCTGACTTAGCTTAAAAAATAAGTAACTAGGTAAAGGGAAGCGGGGGGTGAGAAACAAACCACGAGAGACACCGGGCGCTCGGCCTCGCGCCGCCAGCTTCTCCCGGGCGCGGCGGGACCGGCACCTGCGCGTCGCTCCAAGGGGGCCCCGCGCGCAGCTTAACGGCCCTCGGGGAGGCCAGAGGCGGGCGCCGGGCTCAGCCCCGCGAAGCGAGCG